TAAAAAACACCAACTCAACAAAAATGCAACCCAAATAATATATGAGCAAGAGATCTGAAGAGACATGTCTCCAAAGACGATATACATATGGCCAACAAGCAGGTAAAAAGATCCTCACATCATTAGTCATCAGAGAAATACAAATCAAAATCACAATGAAGAACCACTTCAAACCCACAAGGAGAGATTAAATATAAAGCACAAAGAAACTGTTGTAGATGTGGAGAAATTGAAGCCCTCACATCAGCAATGCTGATGGGAATGTAAGATACAGCAACTACTTTGTAGTTCCTCAAAAAATTAAAAACACATCATTATGATCCAACAATTACATCGTGGGCACAAACTCAAATGAATTAAAAACATGTTTTCACAACAGCATTATTCTTAACATCCAAATAGTGCAAACAACCCAGATGTCTACTGACTGATGAATAAACAAAATGTGGTATTTCAATGCATGCTATTTAGCCATAAAAGGAATAAAAATGCTGATAAATGCTATAGCCTAGAAAAACTTTGAAAGCATGCTCAAAGAAGCCAGACATCAAAAGGCCACATACTGTATGATTCTATTTACATGAAAATTTCCAAAATAGAGAAATCTGTAGGTAAGTGCTTGCTAGGAACTGGTTCATAGAAGGAATGGGAAATAATTACCTGTAAATAGTTCTTATTGGGTAACAAAAATATCCTTGGGGCATTTATTGTGGTGCAGCAGGTAAAGCTTCCACTTGGGAAGCCTGCATCCCATGCACTCCTAAATGGAGTGGCGGTTCAAGTCCCAGCTTCTCCATACTTCTGATCCAGCTTTCTGCTCATGTGCCTGGCAGGCAGATGATGCTCTGAGTACTTGGGTTTCTGCCACCCACATGGGAGACCTGGAAGGAGAGTCTGGCTCCTGGCTCTGGCCTGGCCTAAGCCCTAGCTGTTGCAAGCATTCAGGAAGGGAACCAATGGACAAAAGATTAGTCACTCTGCCTTTCAAATAAGTAAATAAATCTTTTTTTAAAAATGCTCTGGAATTAAACAGTGATATAATTCACAACCCTGTGAATTAACTGCAAACCACTGAATTGTATACTTCAAAAGGGTGAATTTTATGCCATGTAAATTATATCTCAAAAAAATTAAAAAGAGAAAAAAACAAGGTATGGATTACAGTATTTTGGATACCTCCTAAATGCAAGATTTAAGTCAATAAAATGAGTTAAGATTCTACTGGATTACCTCCAAGGAAACGTCCAAGTGTATGGAACACGGAAAAATAAAAAGGTTTCTTAAATATTTGCAGATAGACAAAATAATTTGTACAGTTGCAATATTAAGCTTTTAACTTCAAGCTACAAAAAAAAAAAAAAAAAAGCTTTGTTTATTCTCATCTAACATCACAAATTCAGATTCCATACAGCAGATGGATGGGAAGAAGAAAGAATCCAGATGGACAGACATAAAGGAAGTAAGAAGCAAGACAGGTTCAGAGGCACATCAAAACAAATCAAGCCCCTGTGCAGAGCTTCCAGAATCAGTCTGCATGCCAACAAAAAAAAGCAATCTCATTATTCAACATACACCTTTATTTGCCACACTTAAGAAATACCAAATCCAACATACATGGATGAAAATTTACCAATACTAAGGGTATTCAAAGAATGACTATGCCACTGATTTTACACAATTTCAAAAACTGTGTCATGTTTTGTTCAATGAAATAAGATGTAACCTCCAACTGAGCCTACTTATTAGAAGACAGTATTGCTGCAGATGATATTAATGTCCCTGTCAGATTGGTTAAGAATCTGTGTCATTGTTTTAGTTAGTAGAATCCTTAAAAAAGCAAACATTCTTCCTCCCAGCTAAGGAAAGAAATGTGTTGCAAACCCAAAGTTGCCTAACAAAAAGTCTCTTCTTCATAATCTGCATTTACAAATCCTAAAACCTACCTTTACAAATCTGATCACCTACGCGTCCCAGGCACTTATCGTGATGGACAATTCAAACAACTCACTTCTGTCCTCTTCCACTTCTGCCCACCCTCTCACAAATGCAATGTCTTGTCCATATTCACCAAAAAGCCACCACTTTCTGCAGACCTTCCTTCATCTAGGAGATTTCTTTAATTTCTAAACACACCTAGCATGAGTTTGCACCATCAAATGACACACTATGCCTTGTATGGTAACTGAATCTTCACTAACAAAAAGCTCCTGAAAGTTAGGGCAGTTTCTCCAAATATCCTTACCTGACCACAGTGCTGTTACAAGGCAGCCACTTAATAAATAATTATGTGAAGTAAGCATTTACCTAGCACTGCCTTCGGTTCCTAAAAGGAGCATTAATATTAAGCAGGTACTCAAAAGTGGCAAGTTCCCATAGAAATTGACTAACCAATTCTCACTATGTAAAAAATTCCAGTCCATCCTATATAGCCCCATAAGGCTAACAAATGAATTGCTCCAGCTAAAAGTACATTTGAGGGGCTTAGGGAAACAGGAAATAACTTTCTGTAACTCACAGAGATTCATTCTACTGTCCTTTTTTGGCCAAGCTAGAGCTAAAATGAAATCACTACAAGTGTCCGCAAAGCGGGTAGAGAGCTTCTTGAGAATACAGTTAGGGTGAGGAGCAGCCCAGCAATAGGTTACACATCACACAGCAGAGAGAGCCTAGTCTTCCCAGAATCTCCACTGATCATCGGCGTCCCAGAGGACCCCTTAGTAACCAGTCACCTGGAAACCAAATATCCATCTTGATCACAATCACTGTCTGAACCCACTGTAGGTCATGCATCCATAATCTGAAAATCCAAACCTTTCTCAGCACTAACATGACCCTCAAAAGGGTTCAGATTTGGGATTTTCAAATTAGGGATGTTCTACTGGTAAAAACTATGTAAATATTCCAAAATCCAACAAAGTCCGAAATCCAAAACACTTCTGGTCCCAAGCATTTTGGATAAGGAATAATAAACCTTCAATAACTCCAATTCAACCAAACCAGTCACAGAATCAACAGCTCCTCCTCCACCACCAGTATCCCTTTCTTCCCTTAAAAAAGAGGGAGATAAGATTTTGAAAATGAGAATGCATTTTTAATCCTGAGATTAATGTAAATTAAGTATCATTTAAAAACTAAATGACCCTTAAGTATTAAGATAATCAGTCAAGAAATCAAACAGAAGGCTAACTGTTCAGAACCAATCTCATTAAAATAAAGAGGAATTACTACATCTGGTAGTAAACAACACAGTCACCTTTTGGATTTCATGAAGACCACTGCCATTCCTTATAAATGCACAGAGTTCTTCCTCTTAGCATCTCCTCTTACACGACAAAAATCACAAATAATAAACAGAAAAAAACCGTGAGGCTGAGCTGATTTTAGTTGGGAGACTATCAATACATATTACTGCTCAGGGTAAAATACTGCTCTGGACTCTGGACTCAATTCCTCTTGAACTTTACTACCTTCAAGAGGGAATCTGGAGTGAAGAATATGTTCTTAAAAACTGAACTCCAGATTGAAATGCTCCTTCAAAAAAGGTGGATCTAAATTTTAATGCTCAACTTATGTATTTATGTAAGTATTTTACCAGCTGTAATACAAAGAAACTCCTAAAACATCTTGTCAAGCAGGAACAACTAACCACTAAGGATAGGTAGCAATGACTGACAAAAAGGGGACCTGAGGCAGAAGACAGGGATTCAAAGCAAACAGAATTAGAATAAGATAAACAACTTATTAAAAACCACCTAAAATAAACACCAATATTAACTTTAAAAACCTACAGGGTTATATCTGTCATTTCAAAATCTTCTAAAAATTAATAAGCCCTACTGAAAGAAACCAATCACTAAGAAAACTGAAACAAATACAAGTAAAAATTTAGCATTTTATATTACCACAATTCTGTCAACCCATTCATTCCATGTTTCTCAGAACCTCCTGTATCTGCTCTTAAGTGAGGGCTACTACTAACACATGATTCTGAGAAGGGCTTAACCCAATGAAACATTTCAGCAAATGTATGACAGACTTGAAAGAATAAACAAGAAGAGTTTATGATAACTGATCGCCAAAAGGCTATTTCCTGGAGGGAAAAGCTGGGTTTGCACTGACAGGAGAATTTTTAAATCCAACCAACAAGACAAATTATACCAGAAAACCGACCCATGCTTTTATTCTTTACACAAGCATATGCTTTCAAACGTACTTTTAACCTTTGGACAACCAAAGTGATACCAGATACCGTAAAGCATTGTTGCCTATGCGAGCGTTCATTTCGATGTCACAGTCGAAATCCTTAACAAAACTCACATAACACATTCTGATGAACACTACAGAAATGGAAAGGCTTGTAATTCTCGAGGTAAAGGCTACCTTATTTTTCACTTGTTCAAAGTTTCAGTTTTGCTTTTTAATCCATGACAGAAAACATCCCTTGTGGGACACTGCAGAGGGCAGACCCTCCTGTCAGGCCAGAAGAGTCTAACACAAAGACACCGCGCTAACCAAGTGCTGTAATTCTTCCAAACTGAGCCTCTCCACACCCCCTCCACCCTTCCCCCCAACAGATATGTCTATTAAATCAGTGTCTGTTCTCCCCCTCGCACAACAAAGAGAACTTCTCACCGCATGAAATTGCCGCTGAATGGACACCAGAAAGCAGGATTTGCATAATTCCTTCCAACGAAACCCTGTCGGGAAGGAGGGGATGAGGGGCCCAAGCGAACGGGTGCAATCGCCTAGATTCTGCTGGGGAAGACCTGGTTCCCAAGGCTATTTCCCGGCGGGGGTGGGCGGGGGTGCCGGAATCCTGGGCCTCCCCGAGGGCTGGGCGTGGGGGACCGAGGACGACGAAAGGGCATTCCCCCAAACCCCGGCAGCAGCGGAGCCAAGACCGGGAAACAACAATGCTAAAGGACAGGAGAGGCAGACACAGGGACGGGCCGGGGCTAGGGGGCGGCGGGCGGAGCGGAGACACCACACGGGCCACTTACTTTTTGGAGGGGGGTTAAATATATGAGTTAAGCCCTTATGGTCCCGCCGGCCGCCGCACAGAGGGAAACGGGACCTTGGGAGAGAAAAACAGACAAAACACACAGCGTGAGAGGCGCAGCTCGGCCGCCCGCCCTCCCTCCTGCCCGGGGAAAAGCCACCCGCGGGCGGCCCGCGGCCCGGGAGGCGGGGGTGGGGAGGGCGGGCGAGGCGGTCCGCGAGGCGGCGGCTCCGGCCAATCCCGGGCAGCGGACGAGAGCCACCCCCGCCCGGGCTCCGCGGTCCGGCCGGTCCCACCCCCGCCTCCGCGCCGCGCACACACCGAACACAAATACGCACACACCGACCCGTGCGTCCAGGACCAACTCCCCGGCCGCCTCCAGCACCCGCAGAGGAAGTGCAGCCGCTGCCCCCCGCGGCCATGACACCCCACTTGGCTCCGTCAGGCGGACCCGGGGCCTGTGACAGCTCCGGCTCCCTCCGCCCCCATCTCCACCTCACGCCTCGCACACGCCCGAGCGCCGGGCGCCCGCCCGCCGCCAGCAGCGCGTGCACGCGGGGACGGGGCGCGCCGCCGCGCGTGGGGGAGGGGCGCACGGCGGAGGCCGGCGGCAGCCGGAGAGCGGGCGCGGGGGCCGAGCCGCGGCCCAGCACGCCCTTCCCTCGCGCCACCCCTTGTCCGGCAGCAGCGGCAGCACCGCGGGCCGAGACTCCACAAAAAGCCGGCAGCGGCCAGGCGACCGGCGCGGAGGGGGAGGGGGAGGGGAGGGGAGGGGACGGGCCGCGGGGGAGGGGCTCGCGCTCCCGCCCGAGAGCCCGCCCCGGGGAGGCGCGCGGAGGGGAGGGGCCGGCGCGCGCGCTCAACCCGCGGGAGGAGAACCCGCCCGGGGGTCGCGCGCGCTCGCACTCCGGGGGGTGGGGGAGGGGGCGCCGGAGCCACAGAGGGCGGGCGGGCCGGAGCAGCAATTGCCTCTGCCCCGGCTCCCTCCCCCGCCCGGGGCGGTCGGCGGCGGGGCGGTCTAGGGGCCGGCGGCGGCCGGGAGAGGGTCTCACCTACACAGTGAATGAGCTTGTGGCGCCACGAGTCCAGTTCTTGCCGAAAGCCGCGTCTCTCAACTGAGCATTGCTGCCGCCTACACACCCTCGCCATCTTCTGCCGCCCGCCCGGCCCTGCCTCCGCCGCGGCTCCGCGCACGCCCAGCCGCGTCGCCCGGGGCCGCGCACGCACCCGCGGCCTAGGCGTCGCGCCTCCCGCCGGGGGCGGCGCGGGGGCAGGCCCGGCCTCACCTCGCCTTGGCCCCGGCGTGGCTCCGGGGCGCCGTGGGTCCACGCGCCGGCCGGCCTGCACGCTCCGCGGCCCTGCGTTGCCGCCCGTCGGGCTGCCATCCTGGTCGTGCTGGGCCGCGGCCGCGGCCGCCCCCGCCTCCGGCTGCCCAGGAGGGCGCCTTCCCACGGCCGGGGCTCAGCCTCGCGCTGTCCCCCAAGGCCACGGCGGCCCCTTCCCTCCCCGGGGCTTTTTGTTTTTTAAACCAGGCCCATTTGTCATGTCCCACCTGCCTATCGCCCGACACCAACTGTTGCAAGTTCCGCTTAAGTGCGCCTCGGAACTTCTCGGCCGAAACTGCTCCTGCCGGAGCGTGCTGGAGAGGCAGGAGCAGGAATAAAAGCCCGGAGGGCCGTGGAGGCCCTGAGGCTCTCAAAGGTGAACTGGACGCAACTGTTAAGTCATTGGAAGACCTGGGCGACATCCGTAAACGAAAGAGAACGAAAAAGCCGGGAGGCTTTCCCCGGCAAGGCTGATCAGAGGCGACATTCTCAAGGGGTTTCAGGAAATTGTGGGAAAGAGGACGGTGGTCAACAGCAGGCTCAGGTAGAACTATTCAAAGCAGACTGTTGGAAAATGCCCTAATTCCGGATTTCAGCACAGGTCTGGAAGAGAAGCGTGTTCGATGAGGAAGGGGATTTCCAAGTACCTCCTGAAATAATCTCTCTGCACAAGGCACTGCCTGTGCTGCTGTTTGGTTTAAGCATTGCTTCACTGTTACTGGGGAGCGAAGAAAGAAGGATGGGGGAGCGAAAGGAGAAAAGGTAAAGGAGAAAGAGGGGAGAGGAAGAGGAGAAAAAACGAAGGAAAAGAGAGCCCTGTGCCAAAGGCCTGGTACCCTAGGATGCTGGCCTCATATCCCCTTTTTGGTTTAAGATTAAGGACAGCGCGTTTCTGCTTTCAGATATTTAAATGCAGACACTCAATTTTAATTACTATAGTGGATAAGCAATGTCCTTAAGGATCCCGTTGGTGTTTCCATCAGATCTTTTCAAAAGTTCTGGTTCCTGGTTCTCTGAACCATTCTCTCGTGGAATGGAGGAATCTATCCATAAGAGAGGGACTGGGTGGGCCCCTTGGGTAGGGCTGATCTGAGTTGCTTAGGCAGAAAGAGGCTTGCCCCACCCCTCAATGTAAAATAATCCTTTTCGCAATTCTAGAAAGTCCACAGTATTTCATGGGCGAAAGAGTACTGTCAAATGGCCGGACTGTTAAGTCAGGGAGTGTCGAGTTTCTGTGCACGCAGTACTATCCCAGGGCCTGAGGAGAGAGGGGTGGGAGACGAAAGGCTGCCTGGACAACCGTCCTGTCCCGAGTCCTGGCACCACACCTTGCATCCCATCCGGAAACGTCCTTTCTTCACCGCTAGGTGGTGGGTTTGAGTCTTTTTGTAGCTTTTAACCGAGTTTTCTAGTTTTCTGTGATGGGAAGTAAGTTTCCTAAAATGTCCAGGGTGCGAAGAACAATGTAATTCAAAAATGAATTGATAATGAATGTATTCTCTAGTCACCCCACACAATTTTGGTGTAAAACAAACTAAGATTGATTCTTTCTCAACATAATATCTTAAAGAGTCTCAAGGAGAGAATCCTAGAGGTTTCAGAGGTCAATTCTAAAGAAAGCCATAGATTCTCAGATACGTGGCATAGAATTGGGAGCCCTGACAAATAAGGTGACTGACTTGACCAAGGCTGCAGAACTCCCAGACAGAGGGAGGGCAGCAAAAGCCATGAGATAAGTTTCCCAACTCTTCAGTATTATTTCCACGGTTTCACTTTGAATGCCAACCTCTACTCCACTTATTTTACCTTGGGAACCTACATATAATTGATCCCTTATAAAGGCCTTTTTGGAAGAAAAGATACGGAGGGTGATAATAGCTACTGTTTATTGAATGCCGTCTGTGTATGTTTAGCATCACTACATGATTTAATTCCATCTGAGTAGCAATGAAGGCAATGAAGTAGGTATTTTTTACTATATTTTCCAGGGGAGTTGTATATATCCATGTCCCAGGTCACATCATTAGCAATGGAAACCAGAATTCTATCCAAGATCACTCTGACTCCAAACCCTTCTAAGTTGCCATGGAAGTGGAAGCAGCAGAGATGATCCATGCCCAGGTGAGCAGTCGGAACACACATTCTAAGCTCCTGTCAGATGTTAGGCAGTGTCCTAGGTGCTGAGGACAAGCACATAGCAAAGTCCTAATTTGTGACCTGCATTACCTTTGGCCACCCTGGAAGGGGCCCTTAGCTATAAACTCTTTCCCCTTTTGAGAAGGGTTAAGAATACAACAGTTAAGAAAAGAGCACTTGGGGGCTGGTGCTGTGGCTCAGTGGGTTAAGTGGCTGCCTACAATGCTGGAATCCATACGGGTGCCAGGTTGAGTCCTGGCTGCTCCACTTCCCATCCAGCTCTCTGCTATGTGCCTGGGAAAAAGCAGTGGTGGTTAGCCCAAGTCCTTGGGCCCTTGCACCCAGGTGGGAGACCTGGGAGAAGCTCTTGGCTCCTGGCTTCAACCTGGTCCAGTTCCAGCCATTGCAGCCATTTGGAGTAACTCTTCCTTTCAAATAAATAAATATTAAAAAAAAAAAAAAAAAAAGAAAAACCTAAAACAGGGTGAGCTTGCTTATAATCTTGGTTCCATCTCTTAGGGGCTGTGTGGTTCTAGTCATCAATTTCCTTGTGTGAAAAGGAGGTTAACTGTACAAAATCAGGTTTTTGTGAAGGTGAAGGTGAAATGAAATGATCCACCTGCAGCTGCTGACATATTGTCAGCATGAGGTTCATGTCACATCTCATGATTAGGTTTCCCAAACTTCTGTCTACCTGCCCAGCATGCAGCATGACAGGAAACAAAGAGGCTTGTGCAGCTCAGAGTCAGTCTGTAAGAGTGTGAAGGAATGCCGGCCATGACCTTGGTCTTTGAAAACAACGTAGTCTGAGTTGTGCTCTGTAGCTCTCAGTGGGCTCCAGATGCCGGAAGAAATAGATTACAGAGAAACTGTAGTGGAGAAGGGAGCAACTTGTCTGTGAACTGTGAGTCTGGGTCTGTCTGGGTTAGACCCACCACTACCTTGTGTCAGATGAGGCGGAAACAGCAGGCAATAGGGAAATGACCTTAGATAAATGGGGAATTGGGGCCTTCCAAGGAAGGAAACATCCTGATGGGAGATTTTTAAAAATACGGTTGACTTCTAATGAAGTCTAGTAAGTAACAGATTCTTTTTGAAGCGCTTTTCATGGATAATGTGATATTCCTGACAACAACACAATCAATTATCCCCCCATTTTGTAACAATACATAGTGGTTAAGTACTTTGCCCAAGGCCTCATAGGTTATTGTAGATTTGGATTCAAACACAGGCAACCTGGCTGCGGAGTCAGCTATTGTACTATTTTGCCTCCAGTGCAACCAGGGGAAATGTGGAATGAGAGATGGGAGGGAGGCCATGTCAGTTGGTGGCTTGGTATTTTCGAGAAACTACTCATATCATCGTAACTTTTGCTTAGTGAAAGACTTGCAGAGTCCCTCTCTTCTCAGCCTGCCCTTGTTACTACTGGCCTAGAAAACTTTATGGCTTTACTTTATATTGTATGTATGTGAAATTCATTTTATCTCATAATTTTATTAATACACCATAAAATTCACTCATTTAAAGTGTACCCTTCAGCAATTTTTGGTATGTTCTGAGAGTTGGCCGCTTTCACTGAGAATTTTTCAAGATTCACCCATGTTGTGGCATGTATCAGGATTCACTTTTCATTGCCAAATAATATTTCATCATAAGGCTACACAGGAGTTTGTTCATTAATTCCAGTTGATTAGTGTTTTTACTGCTTTCAACATTTTGACACGAATATTACTGCTATGAACATTTGTGCACAAGTTTTATATAGACCTGTTTTCATGTTTGCTTTAATATGAATATGAATGTATTCCATATATTTTGAAAAAAATTTCAAATGGCTAATCACAATAACTCTCATGTCCTCTTCACTCAGATTCCCCAGTTTTTAATATTTTACCACCTCTCTCTATACACACACACACACACACACACACGTGATTTTGTTGTTACCTAGAGTCCTTTTGAGCAATCTGAAAGAAAACTAGAGACTTGATACCCTTTTGCCCTAAATATCCCGTGTATGTGTCCACAGCACAAAGAACTTTTTGACCATGGTACAGCCCTTCAAACCAGGAAATCAATGTTGACATAACACAGACCATCTTAACATTTAATTCAACAACATTCCAACTGGCCTGAAATCATATCCAGGAACTTACTTTAAATTTAATTGTCATGAATTTTCAGTCTCCTTCAATGTGGAAAATTTCCTTGATCTTTCTTGTCTTTTGTGACCTTGACAGTTTTGGGGAGACTAGGCCTGGCATTTTTTTAAAATATTTATTTGACAAGTAGAGTTATAGACAGTGAGAGAGAGACAGAGAGAAAGGTCTTCCTTCCGTAGGTTCACTCCCCAAATGGCCATCACAGCTGGCACTTCGCCGATCCGAAGCCAAGAGCCAGGTGCCTCCTTCTGGTCTCCCATGCGGATGCAGGGATCCAAACACTTGGGCCATCCTCCACTGCCCTCATGGGCCACAGTAAAGAGCTAGACTGGAAGAGGAGCAACCAGGACTAGAACCCGGCGCCTCTATGGGATGCCGGCGCTGCAGGTGGAGGATTAACCAAGTGAGCCACAGTGCCGGCCCCTAGGGTTGGCATTCTTTAAGCTGTTCCTTACCTGGGCCCATCCAGTGTCTGCTCATGACTAGGCTTAGCCACGCGTTTGGACAGGAAACCCACAAGACAGGAAGCTAGGCTCTTTCCAGGACCCCTCCTCACAAGGAGGCACTCAGTGTGAACCTTCCACAGCATCGTGATGAGAACTTTGCTGATCTGGTCAAATGATTTTCTCCACCCAAAATCACCCTTGCTTCCTTTCTACTTCATAAATATTTTGTGAGGAGAGAGTCTGAGATTATGCCAACACCCCATCCCTCACTAAACCCTCACATGCCAGGCTTAAAGTTCATGAATGGCTGGTCACTCATCACGATGATGGTCACATGGTGATTGTGTTTCCTTCATCCTTTCTTCTGCATTTACTAGTTAGCATTCTAATGGAAGGGAGGGTTTCTCTTGTCCCTTTTTACTTACTTGTTCAGTTTCTTACTGATCTCAGTATGGGCTTGTGGGCTCCTGTATCATTCAGTGAGTTGTAATGTATTACCATGGTTACTTACTTTCATTTTCAAATTATTCCTCATTTGGCCAGTGGGAACCCCTTCAAGCTGATTTCCTGGTCCTATTGGCATGGCTGCTTCATTCTATAAACATTTTCTTTTTTTTTTTTAAGATTTATTTATTTATTTGAAAGGCAGTTACAGAGAGGCAGAGGCAGATAAAGAAAGAAGAAAGAGAGCAAGAGGTCTTTCCCCAGATGGCCACAATGGCTAGAGCTGGGCCAGTCCAAAGCCAGGAGCCAGGAACTTCTGGGTCTCCCATACTGGTGCAGGGACCCAAGGACTTGGGCTATCTTCTACCTTTCCCAGGTCATAGCAGAGAGCTGGATCAGAAGAGCAGCAGCCAGGACTTGAACTGGTGCCTGTATGGGATGCTGGCACTGCAGTTCACAGCTTTACCCATGATGCCACAGCACCAGTCCCTCTATAAGCATTTTCTTATTTTCTGGTATAACTACATGTTCTAGGCTCACCTTGTATTTTTCTTGCCTCAGCACTGAAATCAGTTCTCCAAGGAGTTCTGGTTTCTTTTGATGGAGGATAGTATTTAGAAATCAAGATTTGGACTCTTGGGGTGGGCATTATGGCGCAGGAGGTTAAGCTGCCACTTGCAATGCTTGCATCTGATATCAGAATGCTGGTTCAAGTCCTGGCTACTTCACTTCCCTGCTAATGTGCCTGGGAGGCAGCAGGTGATAGCTCAAATATTTGGGTCCCTGTCACTCATGTGGGAAGCTCAGATGGAGTTTCTTGCTCCTGGCTTCAGCCTGACCAAGCCCCAGGTGTTGCAACTATTTGGGGAGTAACCAGTAGGTAGAAGATCCCTCTTTCTTTCTCTCTCCCCTCTCCCTCTCTCTCTGCCATTTAAAGAAATAAATCTTAGAATAAAAGTGAAATCTGGTTAGCACTATCCCCAAAGATATGTAAAACTATAACATAACTCAGAAAAAGTCCTGCATTGCTAGACTGATTCATGTTAAAAAATGGGCACCCTGATGAATGTTCATTTGTCTTTGATCTTTGCTACTCAAAGGTTACATTAAAGCATTATAATAAGGTAATGACCTACCCAATTAGAATGATAAGCACATGATATCTGGTTATTTACAGTTAATATAAGAGTAACCAAAAAATCATAAAAGACGACAGCATTTTCACATTAATAACAGTACTGTAAAACATATAGAAACTACATAAAGATATTTTGAATGAGATATTTTCCAAAAAACAGTAAAATAAATTTAATGGCTGAGATGTAACCAGTGTTAAGGTGCATGCATTTGGTCCAACAGTTAAGTTACCTCTTGGGACACCCACATCCCCTATCAGAGTACCTAGATTCAAGTTTCTGCTCCTCTGATTCTAATCCAGCTTCCTGCTAATGCAGCTTGCTGCTAGACAGTAGGTGATGGCTCAGGTTGGGTCCCTGCCGCCCAAGTGGGAGACATGGATTTAGTTCTGGGCTCTTGACTTTGATCTGACTCAATCCTAGCTGTTGCAGGCATTTGGCAAGTGAACTAGCAGCTGGAAGATCTTTCAAAAAAAAAAAAAAAAAAAAAGGAAAGAAATAAAAATCTTAGAATATTTGTCTTTAATATACTTTTTGGATTTTTAAAGAAATTAGTCTCTTACATAAGCCTTCAAAAATCAAATTTGATGCTGATCTGTATTTACCAGAACTCATGATATTTTGTTCCAGTTTTCAGGAAAAGCAAACATCATTTACTATTGTCTATGTTAGATGACTGTAAGGAGTATTTTATAAAAGAATAACCAGAGAAGAGTTATTTATAACTAGGTAGCAATCAAAAGCTGTTTCCATGGAAAATTTGTTAGAATTTTTATGCTTGAAAAGTTGTAAAATGC